TTTTTTTTTTTTTTTTTTTTTTTTTTTTTTTTTTTTCATGTATCATTATTGTTTTTGTAATTTGTTTTTCTAAGTGCATTTCGGTAAAATCGGAGATCGCAGTATCTTGGGTTCAACATAATTTAATGGACGAGTCTCAATGCTATTTGCTGGCTTAGTATTACTCATTAGTTTTCTTGAACAGCATTATACAGATTATCAACATTATAACCAAATGACTCCAGCTCGATATTCTCATGTTCTGCAATTACACGGCCCTCGTTGTCGTCATCATCGTCGTCGCCCACTTGCCCCTCCTCATCGCTCGAGGGATAGAGCTGAAGCGCCCGAAGCTGCATTTGCACAAAATGTTAATGTTCCATGAGGGCCGCTAGTCACAGAATAAACAAAAACTTTAAAATAAACATTTGGAATAAAGAAAGGTCTAAACTTACGCGATGGAGTTCGGCCGGTCTTATTCTCATTGGGCGTGAAATTCAGAAAGTCCCATATCAAAATGGTATCATCGTGTGAGCTGCTGACAATTTGAAACTCATCGAATTGAAGGCGAAAAACTCTACCAGTATGTTCCTAAATACAATCGACATTAAATCAGTTATGTATATCAGTTGCGACAGTATAGAAAGGTATTTACCACGAGGGTGTTGAGGCACAAAGTATTGGAGGCGGCGCGTGGATCCAGCGCTGCAACCAAATCCCAGACCTTAATTTTACCGTCGTAGGCACCACTGACAATGCGCTTCGTATCGAAGCGGATGCAGCGCACTAACTCTTCGTGACCTTCCAGCACGCGAAGACAAGCTCCGCACTCAATATCCCACAGCCTGTCGAAATGAATATTCCGAATATAAGTACAAACTATTTAATAATTAACTACAGCTAGTTCATGTTACCTAATTGAATTGTCGGAGCTGCCGCTGACTACTAGCCGATCCCTGTATTGCAGGCAAGCGATGCCACGCTTGTGGCCATTCAGTGTACGCACGAATTCACAGCTCGATGTCGACCACACTTTGATAGTGCGATCCCCACTGGCGGACACAATATACTTCTCGTCAAAGTCCACTACATTTACGGCGGCACGATGGCCGACTAGGACGCGACGCAGCGTGATCTCGCTGGGCGATGTCATGTCCCAGACCGCAATTGAGCGATCTTTGGAACATGTGACCATCATACCATTGTTAAAACGCAAATGTAGCACCGCCTCACAGTGATGAATCAGCGTGTTCACCATATCCCCGGAGTTGACGTCCCATACACGCACCGTGGAATCGCTGGAGCCACTAATGATCACCTTGTCATCATATTGTAAGCACAGAACTGAGCCAGTGTGTCCCATTAGTGTCTGCAGTAATTAGTGATTTAGCGTTAATAGAAGCCTTTTAAAACTCTAATTGAAAATCGCACCTTGACGCACTGCAAATCCGTCCGGTCCCATATCTTAATGGTATTATCCCTTAGGCCGGACACAATCTTTCCATCATCGTACTGCAGGCAATAGACACCCTTTGAGTTCTCAGATCGACAATTGATGCGGCGCAGCATATGCCGTCCTGTCCGCCAGTTATTCTCTATGCTGTCAATATCCTGAAAATAGCATTAGTTAATTAGTTCGCTTCGTCATTTACCTTTTAGTTTGGTACTCACATTCATGATCTTGGGGAATAGTTCCCGATGGAATGAGTGCGGTCTCTGTGTTTGGCCGGGCCGTGGCTTGAACAGATGTTGCATCCAATTGCGACGCTCGGCGAGGCCGCGCCACAGCGAATCCGTGCGCACCTTGCGCTCAATCAACTTCTTCCACAACATGCCCTCGGAGATGACACGAAGCCATTCCTTGCACACCAGCTCAGCAGACTTAAGTGACTCGGCATCCAGATACGATAAAATATTCTCGGCAATGTGATCGAGACCTTTTTCTGTATTAAAGAAAAGACGAAAATATAAATTAGAAAAGGTTATAGCTGATATAAAAGCAATCATAATGTGGAAAGATCCGCGTGTAATACATTCGAGTCCTACATATGTATGGATATCTTAACGAGTTAAAAGGCTTTAGTAGGGAATGCTCGAGTAGGAAACACCCTGAACCATTCAAGCCTATATTCTAATCATTCTGCACTTCTTTTATGCACACATAAATACATATTTTACAAATTGGGAGCGAAGGGGGTGTGGTATCCAAAATCTGTAAATTACGAAATCTTCGTTTTCATCAAATGTATAAACATAGTAGATTCCTTCCGTGATTTCCTGATTTCCCATTTTCAATTTGTTCAGGGTATAAAAAAGGTTGCGAGATAGACGTAGATGTATTTTATATTTTACTGACCCACGCTTAAGAATTCTTGAAAGTTATCTAATCCAGATGATGAATGTTCGCGAATAAGATGTTTGTAAGTGATACGTGCAGCTAATGATAGTCGATGACTCATGAAAACTTGCCGTTTGTTCAGCTTGAGTGAGCACTTCCAAGCAAATCAAAACAGAAGCACTTGAGCAACCAACATATACACATGTACATATTTGTATATTCCGGTGTCAATAAGCAGTGATTAGTTTTAGATCGATGGCATGATTCATTGATGCAACAGTATCCAAAGTTACGCTCAAGAATTGCTCTAGACCCACGTGCCACCTACGAGCACAAGTGGGACGGACGCGCCTAACGGCAAGTTAGCAATGGGAGAGCAGATAAAGAGAATTGACAGCGAGCAATCGTCAGATGTCGCATGAGATTACTGATTGCGAATGAAGGGCAGGCGGAGTGAGCGGATAAAGGAGAGGAGGAATGAGAGGAGGAGGAAGGAGAGGATGAAGGAGAGGAGACCCTGTTGAGTCTGCCGTGAATTGCATACAGTGCTGCATGTTCCAAACACAATTAAGAATGTGGATAACTCGCAAAGCGTCTTGGCAACAGCGACAACGTTGCAAATGCTGAGTTGATGTAGTTCAAGTTGTTATTGTTGCTTCGCCTGCCTAACGGCTCATGTCGCCTGCCTAATAGACAGTGCCACATATACTAAGTCCGGTCTCTCTTTCTCTCACTCTCACGGTTCATTTGTGGATGTATGTGTGTGCCGCCTTCACTGTGCATTGTAAATGAAGGAAACGCTGCTCACTCCCGCTTTCTTTTGCCTTGCTCTGGGCTAGCTGGGTGCTTTAACTATGTCATAAAATGGCAACATGAATCCAGATAATCCCCTAACATGCTTCGCTTGCTAAATGTCTCCAAAAGTTTTTTCCAAAATAAATAACAATACAATATTCAGATTTACCTTATACCCAAACTCAAATATCTTATCATTACGTAATTTCTTAAAGAAACATATTTAGTATTATTATTTTTGCTCAGTTCATCGATTCAAATTCTTAATGTATGACGTTTTGTGTTGTGCAGCTTTTGCTTGTTTTATTTTCATTCTTTTCCGGCAAAGCGCGTTTAATGGAAGCAATGACCTCTCAGTCAACAACATAAGCAGCAGAATCACAAGCAGAGCAGAGGCAGAGGCAGCAACAGAGAGCGTCACCTGCACTTCCCTCCCCCGCTCCGCTACGCATACTCTCTAGCAGTTGCACGGCAACAGCTAGGGACGGGATAGACACGAGAAGAGGAACAGCAGATTCCCTTCGTTCGGTTACCTTCACGTTTCGCAGTTCAACTCTGTTCCTACGCGCTTTTGTATTTGTTTGCTTCTTTTCTTGCCTTTACTTCAGTTGCACTTTTAATCGTTTATCAGTTAGTTGTAATCATCTGATTTTAGCTTAATATAATATAAGTATACTCTCCTAATCATTTTGTATTTTATATGTTAACATATTCTTAATCTTTCATATCTTTCATACTATAACCGAAAAGGCTTAGTCAGTTGTAACTAATTCAAAAGTATTGTTCTCCAGATTCAAGTTAACTGTTTGTAAATATACAAACTGTTTTATTTTACTACATATTAAGAA